CCATGCTTTACATTCTCCCAAGAGCTTTTCTATCCATGTGTATAACTGTTGGGTTTTGTTTTGGTTTTACTTTTAATAAAAGCAAGAGAACACCATACCTGTGGTTATAGAGCCTGCTCTTTTGCCTAATATTACAATGTGAGCTTATTTCCATTTTAATAGATTGATTTTTTGTAACACCCCTTGAAAGCCACCCCTGCGTCATATCTACCTTTCCATCCCATTGTGGGTTTCATGGGTTTAATACTTGGGTCATTCACAATTTTTTTTTTTAATACAAAAAGCACAGAGCAGGCATCATTGATTTAAATTAATCTGGAATTAAGAGGTATGGGATGAAAAACACAAAACTAGGGCCCTGGGTCTTCTAGAGAGAAGAGAAGCAGCTGGTTTCCTGGCTCTCTCTCCAACAAGAATTTACAGAGGTCTGTCAGGCCCAGCACTGGGGACTGGACTCAGCAGACTAAGGGGCAATAAGATGTGGTCCTTGCGCTCTAGGAGTCCACAATTTGGGGGGTGGGTATGAAGAGCACAGGAAATCCATTATGGTGGAAGATGTGTGGTCACAAACAACGACACCTGTACCAGCCTGGTTAGGGAGGCTCCACACTTGTGAGTGCATCCCCAAGTCACACTTGTTCCCTGTGTGCCACTGCAGGTCATCAATGCCATCGAGCAGGACTACCGGCTGCCCCCTCCCATGGACTGCCCAGCTGCTCTGCACCAGCTCATGCTGGACTGTTGGCAGAAGGACCGTAATAGCCGGCCCCGTTTTGCGGAAATCGTCAATACCCTGGACAAGATGATCCGGAATCCGGCAAGTCTCAAGACTGTGGCAACCATCACCGCTGTGTGAGTGTAATGAAACAGGGTGACAGGGTGACTCCTAGTTGCGGATAGACTCATGGTTGAAGGGCAGAACTTAGCTGGTGGAATTCTGTTCTGTTAAGATGGGGTGGTACATACATACCCACACCCACCCACACCCACACACACAAAAACAAAAACAAAAACAAAAAAAAACCAGAATATTTCTCAGCCATAAAGAAGAAGGAAATCATGGCATTTGCCAGTAAATGGATGGAACTGGAAAGTATCATGCTAAACCAAATAAGCCAATCCCTCAAAAAGCAAAGGCTGAATGTCCTCTCTGATATATAGATGCTGACTCACAACAGGCTGGGGGTAGAGAGGAGTGGAGGGTCATCAGATTGGACAGGGGAGAAAGGAGGAGATGATTATGCAAAAGGCAGTAGAATGAATTGGACACCACTTTTCTATGTTCATATATGAATACACGACCAGTGTAACTCCACATTATGTACAGCCACAAGAACGGGAAGCTATACTCCATGCCTGTTTGACATGTCAAAATACACTCTACTGTCAATATAACTAAAATGAACAAATAAAAAAATAATGAGGTAGCAGAGCTTATCCACCAGTGACAGAAGTTCCAAGACATCCCTTCTCCTCTTTCATCTCTCCAGCATGGGCTGGAGGCAGATGTGGAGAGACCTGGCTGGGTCTCTACCTTCTGTTGGTTTCCAATGGGCTCGGCACTGGGCTCTAGAGCAGGTGAGCCGTATCTGATCTGATTGATACAGTGCCCTACCTCAGGGAGATCCTGTTTCCAGAAGTACCTTTCCATTAACCACACCAGTCCTCTGGGCAGGTGGAGCTACAGACTTGGAATCTTGGCCAACCTATTGGCAGGCAAAGGCCCTGATTGCTGTGGGACAAAGAAATACAAAACAATTTGGTTTGTTACGAGTGAATGCCCAGAACAGCCGCCAGCTTCTGTCCGCTGTGCGTTATTCAGCTACCTTTGCATTGTTAACTCATTTACTAATTTATTGTTGCAACCAAAATTTATCCTGTGGCTATACTCCAAACACTGTGCCCAGGGCTGGTCCTATCCAATGAGCAAGACAGACATGGTCTCTGCCCTCATGGAATCTAGAATCATTTAGGAGCATAGACATTAATCATGAAAAGAAATGCAAAACTGAGACCTCGGTGGCTGCTGGGGCAGTTGCACAGGGCATGGAAAGCATACACCTTCTGCTGCTAGAGAGTGGCTTTCCTGATATCTCAACTGAGAAATGAAGGCCAAGAGGCATAAACTGGGTGGAAGGAGAGATGGGAATAGAGGTACAAGGGTAAAGCAGTTGCAAAGGCCCAGGGCAGAAGACCAAGGTCAGTGTCAACTGCTAGGAGTGCAATAGGGAGAAAATTGGGTGGGGCTGAGGCTGGCAAGGTGAGCAAGGGCAAGTTCACTTAGAGCCTTTGGGCCATGCTAAGATGTTGGCTTGATCTTATGAGCCCCTATTATGGGACTGACATGTGTCAGGGTCAAGGTGAGGGTTTTGGGGACAATCCTATCTGCATTTTGAAAAAAGCCTCTGGCTACAGTGTGAACCTAAGAGAACATTTCAAGAATCACCCTTGTTTTCAGTCAAGGCAATGACTATGGAAGGAGTGGATGGATTTGGGAGATCTGGGAGGTAAAGTCTTTGTGCCTTGGTGAAGGAGTGGGTGGGAGATTGGATGTGGGGTTGGAAAGATGTCAAGATGGCACCCTGGTTTCTCATTTGGGTACCTGCATGTCTGCCTTAAGAATGTTCCAGAGAAGGTCAGTGGTGGGTCACTTGGTTCTACTGTTTTCCCCCAGTGGCCAAGGGTGACACCAGATGGAAATATAGATTTCTATAGTTACTGATAGATTTGGGGAGGTTTTAGGGACGTTGTCATGCCACTCAAAGGACCACATCTTCAAATGTGAAGCTATTACTTCTCCGTTGATAAAGGAGCTGGGGTGGGTGGAGGGCTTCCCTTCCCTTCAACTGAATGTTGTGCCAATCTGCCTGTCTGCTGACTGCCGGACGACAGTGCCCAGGGACAAGGCACTGGCCACTCAGTTTGGGAGGTGATGCCAATCTAGGGTTCTGGAAAGAAGGTAGGGCCATCCCAGGGCTCTGTATCACCAGGACTGCTGCTGTCCAAACAGCCTACCATCAGCCCAGAATAAACCTCTGCCTACTCGTCTCTGCAGCCATGGGGTCACCTGCGCCTCTCTGTCTTGCCAGGCCTTCCCAGCCCCTGCTTGACCGCTCCATCCCAGACTTCACGGCCTTCACCACTGTGGACGACTGGCTCAGTGCCATCAAAATGGTCCAGTACAGGGACAGCTTCCTCACCGCCGGCTTCACCTCCCTCCAGCTGGTCACACAGATGACATCAGAGTAAGTCACATGAATCCCCTCTGTCCAGCCCACAGGTGGGGGGGTCAAAGCCCCTTCCCCGCTCCTGCAGATGATGCGAGCCCTATTTCTGGCCGCATCCCCAGCTCCTTCTCTGTATAGAAGCAGTCCCAAGGAGAGCACCTGAGAAAGATGGAGGGGGACAGGGCTGGGGGCTAGGGATGGGTGGGGATCTATCTATCCTGGGCTCCGAATGAGAGTTCTTCAAAGTCAGAGCGCCGGCCATATGTCATTTGCCTAATCACCGAGTCTCTCCCCCATTTAAGTTTATAAACTCAGCCCATCAAAGAGAGCATCCAGATGGAAAGAACACAGCCAGCCAGCACTTTAAACAACACAGCCGAAAAGGCTTTGCACTGATTCAGCAACAATCTAGGGGCTGCGTAGGGAGCCCGTCCTCATGCTTAGATGATGCTTATAAATAAGCATGCATGCCCATCCCCCTCGCATTATTTACCAGTCTGTTGCTCCCACAGGGCTTTAGAGGAATACACAAAATAAAATTATTCAAATCAAATGAGAATCAGAACGGGTCTTAAAGATCCATGTGGTTCATCGTTTCCCCAAGAATGTTCCAAGGAGCACCAGTCGTGGGAAATGTTAATGGGTTCTCCTTGGAAAAAAAAAGGTCCCACGGTCAAATAAATTTGGGAAATACTGCTCACTTTATCACCCTCTTGGAGATTCACGGCTCTTATTAGCATTATAAAGGCCATGAGAAATCCTGAAATAAAGAAAGCCATTTAAAATTATTAAATACCATGGAACCATATTTTTGAGGGACAGGTTTTTATAGAACTGCAGTTTAAAAAATAGTACCTAGTTCCACTCCTTCCATTCGGCAGGTTCTAAAATGACGTGGCACTGGTGTTTATGTGTGGCAAAGCCAGGGCCCGAGCCTGCTTTGCTGGCTGCCCATTCAATACCCTGCCGCCCATCCCCACCCCAGGGACACGGTGATTCCCATATTTACTGGATGCTACAATCCCCTGGAACTCTTCACAAAAAAAAATGCTGATGCCGGGTTCCTACTCCCGGATTTCTGATTAATTGGTATATTGTGAGACCTGAGCATCAGGACATTTTAAAGCTTCCCAGGTGATCCTGATATGCAGCAAAGTGGGAGAAACACTGGATTAAAGTTGGCAAGGGTCAGATTCTGCCTTCTGCATTCATAGAAACTCAGATAATCCTAACCAGAAAGTTGACTCCTTTTCCCAACATACACACCCCAGAGGGAACTTGCAGGCTGCCTGGACTACAGTGTGCACCAGTGGCACCAGGATGGGCTCTGGTGGCCTGTAACCCTTATGGTAGAAGACCCATCAGTCTGTCATTCAGTTGACACTAATCAGTCGTGTTATTCATCAAGCACGGTGCTGGGTTCTGGTATTCCTTCCTGGCCAGGCCAACTCCCGGGTCCCAGAAGAGATGGGAGGAGATCAACCTCAGCAGTTGAGCCCTGGGGGAGAGACAGCTTGCTGACATCCTGACTGCTTTGAGTCAAACCTTCCTGGAGTCCTGACTCCACCTCCATGAGGTTTATTCTTGTCAGAAATGACAGAGCCGCTGCTTTCTCCAGGGAGATGGTTTGAATGTGCATCGAGCCCCGAATCCACTAAACGTCAGAATATGTATATTTTAAAAGGTTCATTCTTGGTGATTGCCTAAAAAAGGCAATCTCTGCCATTATGAATGATTGTGAAAAAGACAGAATAAAAGTTCAAAAGCACTCACCAGTGGAAAACTAGCCTCTGCATCCTGCAGAGCTAGAATAGCTGCTCCTAGCTGATCAGAGGGCCTGGGTTCAGGGAGGGAAGAGGGTGTTCAGCAAGATAGGCTGCTCCGGCTTCCTCCCTGGGATCTGCCCAGCATGTCATATGCTCTCTCCACAATGTGAAGGAATCCAGTGAAGCAGCTCCCCAGCGTGGGAGTCATCGCATGCAAAAGAACAAGGGCAAGACTAGAAGGAAAGTCAAACGGAAAATGAAGGCATTCCGCTCAAAGTACAACAAACCCATACGCTATTCACATGTCCATACGCCATTCGGTGTGTTTCTTGAGAAAAGATGGAAAGAGAAAATGAAAAACTCAATAAAATAGATTGTGGGGCAATTTGTCAATTCAAAATTCAAGTATGCATCTGCAAAGTATTTGCTAAAAAGACCACAGGTAATTTGTCTCCACCAGCTGAAGCTTTGGGGGATCGAGGACCAGTTGGTAAGAGAACAAAGGTATTGTGGACAGAAATCCAGCCCTGGGTCTTCAGAGTGCACAGGGCATGATGTCATCAGCTCTGCTGGGATGGGTGGGGTTTTGGGGAAAAGCAATTAGGAACTTAGAAAAGTTTGGAGAAGAGTTCTGTTGGAATGCTGAGAGTGAGACTATCTTGTATTTGAATACTGATTCTGTCTCTGCTTACCTTCTGTGTGATCCTGGGTATGTTAGTTAACTTCTCTGAACCCTACTTGCCTTGTACGTGAATAATAGTGCTCACCTGATTGTTGTGTGGTGGGAAACAAATGGATAGCACCTGCAAAGCTTTTGGCCCATTACCTGCCCATAGAATGCACATAAGAGACGGTTGCTAAATTATTATTATTTACTAATTAATATTAATAAATTATCATTATTATTGTGAAGTAGTCCATTTTTATAAAATGCTCCTTTGTAGGTTTAGGTGAGATAGTATCTGACCTCTAGAATGCACTAAAGTAGTTACATATTCTTGTTATTAACTAAGGAAAGATGCATGGGTCTCCCTAAGGTCAGTTTCAGCCCATGAACTCACAGTTTCAAAGATGAATCCAATCCAAACCCTTATCCCAGCCATTTTCTTTGGATGCCTGCTTGAGCAGATATTTTAAAGTTATTTTGAGATCACCCTTCTTAAAAAATGCATGACATTAAAATTCAAACAGTGTCAGAAATGGGAAACTCAGGGGAAAACATCAGAAGACCAAGCAAGCCCTACATCTCTCCAATCTCAGTGGGGTGTTCACTAATTTAGGCAGAAAGCTCCACAGATTCACTGAAGCCCCATAGAATATGCACTGAAGGTGTTAAAAGGAATAGCAGAGGAAAATCTCAGTCCACCCCAGGGGCAAGGGGCTGCTCCAGAACCTCAGAATGAGTAAGAGGCCTGGCACTTTCAGATCATCTGAACAGAGTGGGGCATTCAAGGGCCATTGCATGGAAAAAGCAAGATGAACCAAGAAAATAACTAATTGCAAGTTTGTCAGAAAACTTGTGTAACTTAGGCTTCTTGCATTTGAAACACTGTACTTGTCTACCCCGACTATTTTTAGGAGCATGCCTCTGGTGGTAGGTTTTGATCTGTGAAAAATTGCTCTAATAGTAAAGTGACTTTTTTTTTTTTGTCTTTTCTCCCTCCCAGAGACCTCCTGAGAATAGGGGTCACCTTGGCAGGCCATCAGAAGAAGATCCTGAACAGCATCCATTCTATGAGGGTCCAGATGAGTCAGTCGCCAACGGCAATGGCATGAGAACTCTTGTTTTCTTGGGGGAGGAGAGGAAGGAAAAGGACCAGGGTCAAGGGGGAACTAGAGATGGACCACTGTGGAATGTTCTGGAAAGATCGGGCTTCTCGGCTGAGAGATGCGTTAACCATCGGTGAAGAATCAGCCAGACCTGTTGTTAATAGGCAAACCTTCTCAGTGACGGAAGCGGGTTTCAGATGCCGTGGGAAACCAAATATATCATAATAATAAAAAAAAAAATGTAGAAAAGTGATGCTTAACAGAAGTGGAGACCAAACAGTAATGCTTCGGAGAACAAGGGTGAACTTGGCTCCCACCCTCCTCCGTGGGCTGGAGGTAAAGGTCTAAGAGGAAGAAGGGAAGGAGGTGGAGGGAAGAAACAGAAGCCGCGCTCCATTTTTCTTCCTCACCAATGACGTTCTTTTCTTTTCTCCTTTCGTGCTCCTCCCCGAGAACCCCTCCCTCCCCCAAATCCATTTCCCTTTGCTCATGACTCGTGTAGGGAAGTTTCTTCAAACAGAACCCAGCTCCTGAGTCTCCAGACGTTGTTCTGTCAGTTGCCAAAGGACTTTGCTGACCACTGCATGGGGATCCAACCAATTCAATTAATGTCTTCATATTGAAGAAGAGATGTACCTTCAATTGAAAAACCTTGTTTTTCTTTTGTTTGCATTTTCTGCAAAAAGGAAAAAGAAACCACAAATTGGGGAAAAAAAATAGAAAAAAAAAAAACCTGTTTCCGTGTGCAAGAGCACACCCATGTACGTCTACGTTATAAAATGACTGTGCTTGTTCGTAATAAATGCAAACAAGAAAAAAGTACTGGGAAGCCTTCATCCCCTTGGGAGATCCACAGGGGCTGGAATATGTTGTGGGTTTGGCTTTCTGGTTGGCCCAGTGGCCTCTTGGCTCAATGGGAAGAAGAAGAGGGGTGGGGGGCAAATGAAATAAAATAAAACGAAAGGAGAAAAACACTCAAGGTGTTTGCAAATTCAGAGAGGAAACAGGTGAATGGTTTGAATTGGATGCAGTGTGGGTAATTCTAGAATGATACTGACTGATTGGTTATGCTTGGTAACATCTGTAGAAAAGGAGAAGGAAAGTGTTTCTGGAGAATGTTCTTCCATGTCCCTGGAATCTGCAATTGGAGAGGCGGCAAGGGAGAAGTCCTCTTGCCTTACCTGTGGACTGGCGTAAGCCGTGTGGATCGGAGGAATGTTTCGATCGTGTCTGTGTTTCTCTTTACATTCCTTATTGTACCTCATTGTTCAATTCACTTTTGTAAATTCCACCTAACATTTAAATATTTTTAATTTCTCCTTTTACCTTAATCTCCTTGCTAATTTTATCTGTCTAATTAAAAAGAGCAGAAGCATGTCTGGGTTTACGTAGAATGGTGTCAGAGTATGTGTGTGTGTCCCTGGAATCCAGTGGGTGGTACCCACATTGCTGGAGAATCCTTAATCACCGTTCTTCTTCTGTAACATTGGAAGGGAAGGAATGTGTCCCTGGCCTTGTGACCCCCCCAAAACTGGAATATGTTAGACTCCCTGGCACCGATGTGACCCAAAGGAAGAACTGGAGAAATATGAGGTTCGGATGCCTCAAATAAGAGGGTGAGAAGTGACTGACATACAAACTCAGTCACTCATGATACAGGATCAGACCTGGTTTCTGTTTACACACTGCATTGGAGAATTCACATCCAGGCCAGTTTCATAAAAGCCTTAATATGAGTTTAGGCTGCTTGCTTGTGATGCAGCCCTGGACAGGCAGGTGGGGAGATTGAAGTTGTAATAGGAGTTATGGTCCCCAAGTAGCTTATTTAGTTTGTATTTAAGGCAGAGTCAGGCCTTTGCCCTAGTCCTAGGTAACTCTGATTTGGAAGGCTCTGAGGTCACCAGACACATGTTGCAATAGCCAGAAGCAACTTCAAAGAGGCTCACAAGCTTAGGGGTTCCTCTCCAACCCAGG